TTCAGAGACTTCTCCCTAGGTGAGCCAGGTATTTGCCGGATGCGCAAAACAGAGCAGTACAGCGAGATGGCCGAGCGGTCTTAGGCACTGGTTCTAGGCACCAGTCCCTTCGGGGGCGTGGATTCGAATCCCACTGTTATCGTGCGTTTCGCTGACGACTGCTACACTGCACTATATTTAAGCCACGACAAGACTACACGTCATCAAATTCATCTCCATGCCTTGAAGAGTATTTTTTTAAAGCAGACAGTGCAATGCCTTTGTAGGGCGAGATGGCTGACCGGTCCACGGAGCAGGTTTTAGGCACCAGTTCGTTCGGAGGCGTGGGCTCGAATCCCACTGTTATCATGCGTTTTGTTGACGACTGCTACACTGCACTATATTTAAGCCACGACAAGACTACACGTCATCAAATTCATCTCCATGCCTTTAAGAGTGCTTTCATAGGGCAGACAATGCAATCCCTTTGTATGGTGAGATTGCCGAGCGGTCAAAGGGGCTGGTTTTAGGCACCAGACCCTTCCGGGGCCTGGGTTCGAATCCCACTCTTATCATGCGTTTTGCTGACGATTGCTACACTGCACCATTCGTTAGCCGCTACAAGACCACCCGTTATCAAATTGCCCTCCATGCCTTGAAGATTATTTCTATAATTCGGACAATACAATGCCTTTGTATGGTGAGATTGCCGAGCGGTCAAACGGGCTGGTTTTAGGCACCAGACCCTTCCGGGGCCTGGGTTCGAATCCCACTCTTATCATGCGTTTTGCTGACGATTGATACACTGCACCATTCGTTAGCCGCTACAAGACCACCCGTTATCAAATTGCCCTCCATGCCTTGAAGAGTATTTCTATAATTCAGATAATACAATGCCTTTGTATGGCGAGATATCCGAGCGGTCCAAGGCCCTGGTTTTAGGCACCAGTCCCATCCGTGGCGTTGGTTCGAATTCCACTCTCGTCATGTGTTTCGCAGATGATTGCTACGCTGCACTATATGCAAGTCACTACAAGACTACCCGTCATCAAATTGCTCTCCACTCCTTCAAGAGTATTTTTAAGAGGAATTCAATACAATGCGTTTGCATGGCGAGACGGCGGAACGGTATAATTCGCTGGTTTTGGCTGCAGTCCTCTCGCGGGCGTGGGTTCGAATCCCACTCTTACCATGTGTTTTGCTGACGATTGCAACACTACACTATATGTAAGCCACTACAATGCTGCCCGTCATCAAATTGCTCTCCATGCCTTGAAGAGCATTTTTGTAAGGCAGACCAACACGACTGTACGGCTAGATGGCCGAACGGTATAATTCGCTGGTTTTGTCAGCAGTGCGCTTGCGGGCGTGGGTTCAAATTGAATGAGCGAACACCAGCTATGTATAACAAGTTGGTGTTTTTTTACAAATTTGACTACCGTTATGATCACCTGTATCACCAGATTTCCCTTGATCTAAGAGTGACTCGAGCGGCGCATTTAAATCTTCCATTTTCCTTGTTGCTTGCAAGAGTAGGCTAGTGTGTTCTGCTCGTTCTAGCAAGTCTTTGAGCATCCTACACTTCTTTTAGGCTCTTCGTGAAGAAATCTGACAATTGGGTCGATGGTCTTCCCGCAGCACGTTTGGCATCCCGAGGAATCCGTTCATTAACGGCTTTTACCCATCGCTTGTCATTCACACGCATTGTGTGCCCGGTCTCCCTTATCTTCGACTGCGTGGCGTACAGAACTGCATCTTTGATTTCTGATCGTTGACCCAGGTAGGAGCTTCGGATCCCTTCCTTTACTTTCGCGGCACGGGAAAGTCTGCAAGCATTCGTCCTTCTTGACTAATGTTTGGTGTCATAAGGGCAATGTTATCAACGAAGCGAAAATGGTGTAATTGCCGACCATCGATTTCTACTGCCATGTTGTCCCAATCCAGTGTTCACATGACGTTCTCGAGGGTGCCACTAAATAATTTTGGCGTCGCGGTATCGCCTTGCCTGACCTATCTTTTGACGTTGATGCTAATATCGTTGTTGAATGGTGATATTTTGTTTGCGAAATCTTCAGACAGCTCACAAAGAATTTCTATTTACTGAGTTATACACTGAGTAGGCGGTGTTAGTAAGACAGAGAGGTCTTTTGTACTCTCGCGATACTTCAATGGGTCCCGTTATCGTGTGGATGCGGTCCACTGTGCCGAATCTTTTCCAAACCCTCCTTGCCCACATAGCTTCCCTTCGTCCAGTGTTTTGTCAATCCTGTTTTGGATTACTCGAGTGAAAAGTTTGTAGACGACAGAGATCAAGCAGATTGGGCGACAGTTGCCGATATCGTTAAGGTCACCCTCCTTGAACAATAACACGATCCTGCTGATCTTCCACTGAGTGGGGCCTTGCACTCAGGCAGGTAACGTGTGAAGAGCCGAGCCAGTGTGTTCACGAGAACTGGCGGAGGCTTATACAGGTGCTCAGATCTTGTCTTGTACGTACTTGATGCTGTTCGATTGTTCACCGACGAAATGGCATGTCCGATTTCGGAAGGGAGAACTGGTAGTACAACTTATCCATCCTACTTTATTTCGTATGACGGAAGGTGGACGTGGCTGTGGAAGAGATCTAAGTAGTATTCGTGAATGGTTTTCTCTGTTGCCTTTCTGGACGCTATGACTGCTCCGTGTGGTAGTTAGAGTGCAGTCATCTTGGTCTTTTAATTCGCGAAGCATCGTTGAGCTTTGCGAATGATTTTCCCAGCCTCTGCCGCTTCGACTACTACTACTACCGCTGTTCTCTCTTTAAAAACTTCTTTTATCGCCTGTCTGCACTTTATTGCAAGTTCAGACGTCAGTTCGCGGTTGCCTGCAGCTCGTGCGATTCCATGCTGCCGTATCAACTCGAGCGATTCTGGAGACAGACGTCTCTTGGTGACTTTCGAACTCTCAGCTTTCATAGCGCGAACGTTAAGGTGTTGAATGAGCCGATCGTATTCTTCGTCGATGTTATCGACAACGGCATCTTCTCAACAGTCGACTAATGAATTGAATAAGTCCCAGCTTGCGGTGGTTCTGGGACTTCGGTTTTGGAATTTAGCGGCTTTTTCTCATTTCCGCGAGAAATAGGAACTTGCATGAAGGAGACGATGGTCTGATCCCGTGTAGAATTTTGGGACAGCAGCGACATCGGTTAGGCAAAACCTCCTATCTACTATGATGTGGTCTATTTCGTTATGGTACTCTCCACTGGGAGACTCCTACGTCCAATATTGAGGGTGAGGCTTTTGGAATTGTGAGTTACCATGGATTGCCTTGGTCGCCATGATAAACTTAGACTGCCGCTCACCCTGTTCGTTTCATTCTAATACGTGTGTCCCAATGTGACGTTTTCCAGACGTTCTTCTTGGTCCAATCTTGGCCTTGAAATCTCCATGATGACATTGAAAAATGTATGGTCGTCTATGTAGAACTTCTCCAACTCCGCATAGAACGCTTCGACTTCTTCCTCATCAAAGGTCGACATCGGCACGTAAAAGACGAAGATTGTCAAAGCTGGTGTTGATCCACACCTTTTTAATCGTAATCGTTCGACTCGGATTGTAAGTTGTTCGAATGGATCGATGTTCACGGACAAACTCGTGTTGATGAAAACGCCGACGCCGCCGACTCCTGTCCTGTCGCATGTTGCGAGGAACAGTTCTTCTCCGGTGTTATAAACGGCGTTGAAAGGCTGTTGTCTTGTCGTCCCGGTCAGGCCGATGACGCCGTACCTCATCCTTCTTGCTTGCATGAGCAAGTTTTCTATCAAGGACTCGGATGCAAGTGCGCATGCATTGTAGGTACAGATCGTCACCTTAGTTCTTCGCGATCCAGGCAGCTTCCATTGATCCTGAGATTTTAGCAGCCTCTCCGTACTCGTCCTACCTAACGCCGCCGAATTAGGGGCTCTTTCGAGGTCAGGGGAATGAGGCCCGTTTCTTCTACTGTGTTTAGCTTTTTGATACCCACGTATAGCTTACTAGCCTCCGAACGTGGGGCTGGGTATATTCACGGGTAGCTTTTCAGACTCTTCCGCAGTTGACGTGGAGGTTGTTTGTTGGAGGCTACTCCTATTCTCCTCCCATACATTTCCCTGTCACTTGATTTCAGGCTTTTGGCCGAGCTGACTTGTAGAATACAATCCTCATAAACAAGAACGCACCCACACACGCATGCATGAATACGCCTACCTAACAAATACAAAAAGTATCTGCCAAATCGGTGCATCAGAATCTGGGAGTCCATCCCCTGGATACAGCTGCCTCTCAGAGTAATATACAGTCACTTTTGGTCTGCGGTTAACCCCTATCCGTCGTCTGGGGACGCGCCACGTAGCCCTGTGACTAATCGGCTCGAGATCACTTATTCGAGGGAGCTCTGTGATGATAAGGAAATTAAATTTGCTATAATTCGTTTTCCTTCTAACGGTTTACCGCCCTATCGTGGCTAGGAGGTGTTCCTTGGTGACGGGTTGCGATGTACAGAGAACGTATTCATCACCGCAGCGTGATCTCCCAAGCAGAAAAGATGTCCGGCTTTTTTATGAGAAAGTCCATCAACTAAGTATAAACCAATACTAGGATCCGTCACCTTGTGGTTCCAAGCTAGTCTCATAGTGAAAAGTCTCCCTCTGCTCCACAGGGACTACTACATGTGATGAAGACCTGGAGAAGACTTTAGACTGGTTGATTTCGAGACTCCGGGGAACTCGAATGGCCAAACCAGCAAATCTCCGGCAAAATGAAGGTTATGCTGTGGCCCGCGCAACCATTGAGGACGGCCCATCCAAATATCCAAGTATTACCCGTTTAATATGTTACTGTTGTTGAAGAAGATAGTAATCATATGATATATTTAAGTCCGATCGATTGATTGTTGATGAAAATTGTGTAAATATCACTATTTCCGATTTTCATTTATTCGCCTTCGATTTCGGTGTGGTTATTTTTCACCTCAATGGCGACTGTGGTCTGTGATTTACGTGGTAAAGACGAATTTTATTCACTTTGCAGCTGTGCTGAGTGCATAGAGAATTCCTGAAAATTTCAGTTTTCAGGTGAGATTTCCAAAGAATCTGAGATAAAACTGCAGGGGATTTCGAAAGAAAAAGACGCATGCAACCCTAAAATCGATGTGGATCTAAAGCAAAAGGGGAAGCGTAAACATAAGCATGAATCTTTGGACAAAACAATGGCACTTTACGCCGTGAGTAATCAGTTGACTTTTTAGTATTATAAACCTAACTAATGCGGTTTTAATAAGCTTATTCCGTCAATGATATACTGATGATTACATCAAAAAAAAGTAGATGGACTGAAGACTATCTGCTTTAGGCCCGAGCCGATAGAGGAGCAAAAAGGGGTGACGCACGACGAAAGAACTACTTTCAAATTCCAGTAAATCTATATTTCTTCTATTCTTAGGAATCATAAACTCTGTATACCATGTAACTTCTCCTTACAAAATGTGTTTTAAATATTTCATTTCACACGGATCTTGTATTGTGTGAATCTCAGCACTTTTTGTTTCGAGTAGTTTCCTGGTATCCATTATCCACGAAGGCGTTCGGATTTTGTGTGTTCGTTCGGCTGCTGCTGAGGATTTCGACTTTTTTATGAGTGTCGTTGAAAGGTAGTCGAGTCGATTCTCCTTGAAATTCTGCGAATTCCTTGCTAGGAGTCCTCAGGTATTCATCACAGAAAGTTGTTAGCTTTTGTGGATCGGAGAGAGCCTTTTTAGGAGAAGTCCACTATGAATTTGAAAGAACTTTGCTGAAAGTCAGAGTGATTGCAGAGCCTTGTGCGCTTTGGAATTAGTGCTTTACCTTCGCCTGTTTTCTAGTAAAACTGTTAAAGAAATCCAAAGTATGTAAACATATAACATTAACATCCCTGTTATGAAGCAATATAGAAAAACGAAGTTTCGTAGCATTGCATCTATGCAGTAAAAAAAGATGAAGTGGAAGCTGGTAATCCTTTGAAGATCTGTCACATATTCAACTTCATAGAGCGCTGCAGTTGTGCTTGATTTCATATTTGGCCTATGCGATGACTTGAGTTGGCCTACTGAAGTATCAAGTCGGCATTTTCATTCTCCCGGAAAAATCTTGTATCAAGTTTTCTGCTCCAGAGGTATGGAGGCCATCGCTAGCCCACGGCACGGGATAAAACCACAAAGCTGTGCCCATTAGACGGCTTGTCTAATCACTGCCTATTGTGTCTGATATTGACACAAATCAAGAATTTTCCAATGCGGTTAGCATCTATGAATCATCACTAGTAATTTCTCTAGGATCAATACAAAACAACAATGGTTGGTGGTATGACGACTATCGGAGGACCAACAGCAATTCACGATCGAGAAGATGACGAATTTAATGAAAAGGTGTGTAAGTTGAAGTTCTCGTTCTCGGATTCTACGATTTTTGAATGGATTCCATTCGCTAGTAGTCCCCGCATGTCTACTATGAATCAGAAAAGCGTATTCAGCGGTAATAATGAAAACATTCTGAACGCTTTACATTTAAAGTCAGCTGGGCTTATGGAACAACAAAAGCTAACTTTTGTAAAACAGTCGTTCAGATAATGCAAGAAATCACGTGCCTTCTTCGAGATGAGAACCTCATTGAAACCAAATTCGAATTCGATGGCAAATGTGAACGAAGATTCCGTGAAGATCAGTCGAGGCTAAAAGCCGAATTAGAACAGGTTTCGCCTTTACTTTGAACTTCATATTAGACATTTAAATGATCCATCCGAGATGTCGTGCAAGACCTAGCATATCTTCCATTCGCTTCGTTGTCTCATCACCGTCACGTGTAGAATCTCGCTCTTGTTGAACCCAAAAGGTTTGAAGACTTGCTGGCTAAACTCTTTCAGAACCGCAGCAATTCTTGGAACTAGTTGGACAAGTGAACAATCTGAATCTGGTCTCTTTATTATATAAGAACCTTGAGTGCACAGTTTCACTCTGCTGAAACTTTCCGTTGTCTTTGCTAGCACAAAAATTGTAGCTCATTTAAAACTTCCTTAAGCCTACCAAAGCTGTCGATGTTATCAGTACTACAAGACTAGTTTACAATACTACGCATAGCCGGACTTTAGCACCTAATGCACTTTCAGTACTGTCAACTGGAGGAACTTATTGGAGAAGATATGATGAATGTACTTTCTAAGACTGAAAATCTTGACGGCACTAGTGATTTCAACGGTATAATTCGTTTCCTCCTCTTGGATGTCCACTTTCGGAAAATATTACCGCAAAGAAGGGACTCAACTTTCACATGAAAAATTCCAGTGAAGGACGCTCCGATTCGCAAACGTAAGCAATTAAAACGAGCCGACGATCCAGTGTATGAATTGCAATGGATGTAGTACATTTAGATATAAATAAGGGCAAATTTCCGTCACATAAATCGAAAATGAAATAAAGTCTATGTATGATATAACCGCAATGGTGCTGAGATATTTGGAAAACTCCGGACTGCAAGTGTTTGCGTTGGGGTACGAATGCGTTATTACCCTTTCCTGGGGCTAACGCGTTCAGCACCACTCCATGCTCCTCCTTCGCTTTGTCTTTCTCTCAGCTAGTTTTCTATTTGCCAATGCTACCAGCAATCGCTCGTCAAGGACATTGATCAAATAACCCTAAATCGGTAATGAACCCAGTTAAGTTGAGGCCGTAGTCTCAAAGTCCTTGTACTGTTTGATAAAACTTTATTCTTTTTTGATGATTTCCTTCCAGTGAATTCATCAGTCGTTATAGAAAGCTTTCTAATCATCAGCAAGTCCTCTCTCCTTTAATAAACCTAAGTGGAATGGAACTTCTCAAATAATTGTTACAATCACGAGTTTTGAATACAACTCTGATCTTATTTTTACCAGAAATTTAGATTCACCTTGTATTTCAAACGTTTTCTATAAAAGGACCTCCCTAAGAGTAACAAGTATTTCACGTTGTACTCACGTCGAAGGCAATAATTCGAAGTTAAAAGGAATTGACTGTGAAGAAAAAATATGAGATAATTGGAAAGAGTGGGTGAGATCCCATTAGAAACACCGCATTGAGAAAAACCTAATAGCCGATTATACGTGGTAAACAGCACTGTTTTGCGATTAGAATAATAAAATGTAGGATTAGAAAGGACGCGAAGATATACTATAGTATAAAGAACTAACCACACAACTCGAGCTATTCAATTCTCTGTGTCCTCTCTCTCTCTCCCGAGAGAAATGCATTAATATTAGTGAATAAAATCGTCATTATGTTAATAACACCTGCTAGATGCCTACTGCTTTTCTACCACATTTCGTTCATTCTTGCTGACTTTTTGTCAGTTGATGTTTCCACTTCGGAACGCATTTTCCTTCACGAAAACTAGTCATCAATTAAAGAATGCGTTAAAGAATATAAGAATATCGGTTTTATTTGCAAATACTAGCTTTGACATCAAACAATAAATATCAAGTTATAAACGGATTCCTCACTAGAAATTGTAAACTCTATCAAGGCACATATAACTTCACAAGCCCTAGACAAACAGACGACTGGGCGATAAGTACCAATGGTAGCAATTCCCAAGACCGACTTTCTGTTAACCTCGGCATTAATTGATAATTCAATCTTTCTCTTCAATAAGCAGTTAATAAAGAATTAATTAGAATACAATAGCTGACGTTCCAGCGGTTTCGCCTTCTTCAGAGCCGTTTGTTTGTTGTAAGTATTTTAGTTGATGGATAGCCGCCGCACAGAGTAATACATGGGCGATAACTGATCTCTCTGTGCGGCGGCTATCCATCAACTAACTTAAATACTTACAACAAACAAACGGCTCTAACGAAAGCGAAACGTCAGCTATTGTATTCTAATAAATTCTTTATTAACAACCTCGTGTCTGCTTATTGAAGAAGAAGATTGAAGTACCAATGGTGATTATAATAAGTGAGAAAATCTATTTAACCTACAATAGCACTATCCCTACTTTAACGACGAAAATTGAAAAGTTCATATCATTAAGATTGAGCACAGACCATTAGTTTATCAGCAGGTTACTTGTTAACGCTTCTTATCTCAACACCTACTCTTTCCACGAGCTGAATGACGTTCATCGCCTGCAATAATAACGGCCGATCTACCATCTGACCACGAAATTGAAACGCTCCTTTCCCTTCAATCTGATGTTGACTGAATGCATGAGCCAACTCTGTCGCCCACTCCACTTTATCGGACGACGGTAAGAACGCCTCCTGAATCACTGGCACCTAAACATTCATAATAATATCTACTATGAAACCTAAAGAAATTCCTTAATTATAGGTAGAATAAGAGATGTCAAGTAAAAATATGACCCATAGCAACAAAAACCACACACATATCTGACACATTAACAACACAACCACAAAGATGTTGTGACATGAGCAAGGGGGAGAGGCATGTGTTATCCACAGCACAAGCCAAGGACCTTGTATTGCTTTTCTCTCAGCCACTTTTCTACCCTAACGATGCTATCAACAATACCAGAAATACTAAACCGGCTTCGAAAAAGTCGAATGTAAATAAAACAGTATGAAATTATTGAACTTAAATGTATAAATAATGTTATGTTTATACAGCAACAAAATCGAACTACTTGCAGTCTGCATTTGGGTCAAATAGCTCGAGATACAGTTCTAGAGGCAAAAAGCAGTTCAGTTCTCCGCTCGTACTTTCAAAAAACACTACGTCCAAAGAAAAACACTTCTATACTACAGTGATGCTGTGATATTTGCAAAACTCCGGACAACCTGCGGTGGGGAACGAACGCGCTATTACCCTTTCTGGGAGCTAACGCGTCCACCACCACACCATTCTACTTCTGTACTACTTGTAAATTCCTTCCAAAACTACAACGTAGTCTTACACGAATCCTCTAAATGAGCTTGTTCTTGAGGGCTGCCAGTTAACAGCACTTATATATATATATATATATATATATATATATATATATATATATATATATATATATCAATACAACGGATATGAACTACTGAATAAATCATTGAAGACACGATCAGACAACTAGCTGGAATTTCTGCCCTCTAGTTCAGGAATGGATTTGGTCCATTGTCCCGCTTCAGCAACTGACGACTGTGGGTGATGAAAAAACCGGGAGCGTCAATCGAAGACATCTTTGCATTCCACGGAAAACACAAAGTACACCAGCGTTCAATATATTAATGTGAAAAGAACGAGCTACAGCCGAACCCACAGATCAAGCCGATCTCCTCTACAGATGTTGATTGAAAAACAATGGAATAAATGGAAGACACTTGATATGTCAGGAAGGAAGGTTTAAATCCCCAAGTATTTCGGCAATCAAATTATGTGCTATTACTTTTTTCTAAGAAACAAATGAACAGTTATCAATCGTTAAGCTATTTAAAGGTTTTTCCATAAAGCAAAGGATTGGTAAAATAAAAACTTTACCAGCTCGTGTCTAACCTGTGTTGGATGAATGCTCTGTTTTCCTGTGAAACCCCAACTGTGGCCTAAACAGAAGAAGTAAATAATAAAGATCAAACAAAGAAGTAATCATACTGTAATATAATGCTGGGCAAATTTGACCTTCTATGCACTGTCTTCTCAACCCGTCCATGTCTTTGATATCAATGAAAACACTGTCGATTGCTTGCAATTGAAATGCCTTACAGCACGCGACAAACCGTTGTCGAGCGTACATCACTTCTTTGCCTTCAGATGAACGAGTCGCACCTTCAAAAAAAATCTGTTCAGATGAACAAAAATAGTTACAACACGTTACCACCATGATAACAAAACTGTGACGAAAAAGTTTTCAGCTAATCTTAGTAGTCTAAAAGTTGAAAGAGTTAAAACTGGTTAAAAAATGCTGGAATATATACAACTTTTCCAACAGAACTAAAAACTACTTAATTTATTACGATGGAGTGCATAGCTTCTAAAGCCCTCGAATCGTTCTTCTAATTCGGTTTCTGCCATTGAAGTACACATTTTAAGCGATGGAGAGATTGAACAAACGGATTTTTTTCAGAAAAAGACACTAGTTCTAGATGAAAAGAACGAAAACAGCTTCATATGGAAGGAACAGTAGAAGAAAGAATCTTAAATAAAAAATCCAAAATTCCTAGTGTCTCTCGAAGGAGTACAGCTAATCGCACGCATTTGGTTTGCAACAAAAACGAATGAAGATCCCCAACTTCCTACCTCGACATTTCTAATGATCTTGATCTGCCACATGAAAAACCTCGACGTTGATTGATAATTCGATGTTTTTCTTCAATAAGCAGACACGAGGTTGTTATTGCAGAATTTATTACGATTCAATAGCCGACATTTCGGCGATTTCGCCTTCTTCAGAGCCGTTTATTCGTTGTAAGTATTTCAGTTAGTTGGTGGATAACGAGGACAGTCCTCGCCCATGTATTACTCTGTACGACTGCCATCCACCAAGTAACTGAAATACTTACAACGAATAAACGGCTCTGAAGAAGGCGAAACCGCCGAAACTTCAGCTATTGTATCCTAATAAATTCCATAATAACAACCTCTTGTCTGCTTATTGAAGAAAAACATCAAATGAAGATCACTTGTAGTCGCTCGAGACACTCAATAATTAGTGGAATTACAAGCAACACTGGCAAACAAAGCTCAGGGGAAAAGGTTTAATCCCAGTGTCGAAAGTAAAGAACGTCAAATGTGTGACATATTCGCACATTTTAACTATCTGACAAAGAGCAAACGATGCGAAATCATTAATATACTTATTCCGGGACTTCAGCGAATGGAATATAGGGGCTGATTCGGCTGGTATTGCAATCGACAGCAGCGATGATCCTCACAATCTTCATTACGGTATTGTCCTGCTTAGGAAAGCCGGAAAAGTTCCCGTTTCAGCGGAATCAGTTAAAGAATGTTCGCTGGATAATTAAATTAGATACAATATCCTCTGTGGAATGGCATGCACTCGTTGGACGAAACATAGCCAGCCGAAAGACGTAAACAGCCATCCACAACGGAGCAATGAGAAGGAACAGGTTTGTTTAAAATAGGAATTATAATCAATTATCGACAGATTAAAGATTATTTGAAGAAAAGAGGACATATATTCGAATAAGATACGAATACTGAGATGATCGCTAGGCTTACCTAACATACACATAACCGCTCTCCAGCGTTCTCATTTCAACAACTCGTAAAGTACTGCAATTAGAAGGTGCATTTGTCCTGGCAACGAAGTCCTCGAACGTTTCCGAATAGCCAATAGCGACTCGACGAGGTTCACCGCTTGTAGTTGGTATCAAGAGAAACAGCCACCTCCAAACCGATCTTTTTCAGTACCTTTCAGTAGAGTGCGTTGCTCTTCAAGCGATAATTCCTACCTCGACATTTCTAATGGTCTTGATCTGCCACATGAAAACGGGTCCCCGTGAATTCTGGAACATAGGAAAAGCACCACGAAGGTTCGCCCATATGATTCCGACGAATGATAGGTGGAATACTTTGTTGCATTTGATGCATTATTATCGAGCATACCAAACAAGTGGTGTTCTTAGAGGACCATGACATAGCTTCGACGTAGTTCTTCTGAGAGTACAACGCAAAAATGAGAAGTACAAAACTAAGGAAAGTACTTGGACACATGATATGAACGTTGCCAAAAATGATGCGTACCAAAACAAACTTAATTCGCTCATTTTGTAGCGATATTCGCACATGGAGAAGTGTACATTGCAACGTCTGCGAGTATCATTCACTAATTAATAGGGCATTCCTGGTCAGCTAACTAGCACTGTAAACTTCTCACAATTTTTACAGACCGTCCTAATTGGTTCTGTTAGGAAATTCTTGCATCGTCTTGGATTCTACTAGGTTCAGGTTTTATACTACCTATGCTGACCACATAAAAAGACATTAACTCTGTGAGTGGCACATAAAACTCTTAACTTGGGTGAAGTTCCAACTCAAGTCCCAACATCACAGTGCCAATGCGCTAGAAGAAATGTTTAGTCTAAACAATGAATACGAAACTTTGGACCTCATAGTTAGTTCTGTTTAGTCTGAAAACCCATTCGTACACCACCGAAATCTGAAAACCATGAATCTCGTTCTCTATCACAAATAGGTTTCTGATGAAATGAGTCATGTAACTTGTGGTCCTACTTTTACTGCATTTCACCTATCTTGAGTATTTTTTTTACTTTCTGCCTACTATAATTTCGCGGCAGGGTACTAAGCGAAATACAACCACAACGTTGCTGAAATATTTGCAAAATTCTGGACCGCAGGTGTCTATGGTGGGGAACGAACGCGCTATTGTCCTTTCCGGGGAGTAACGTTCCCGCTGACGGGTGATTGCTGCGGCAAAGATCGATAGAAATAGCTGAGAGACAAGCGAAACGAAGGACCCGCATGGTGTAGTGGTGAACGCGTTACTCCCTGGAAAGGACAGTAGCACGTTCGTTCCCCACCATAGACACCTGTGGTCCAGAGTTTTGCAAATATCTCAGCAACGTTGTGGTTATCTTGAGTATTGCTGACCCTTTCTCCCTTTCTTTTCACTGGACGGCCCGTATTTACTAGTTGTGCGAGTCCTAGCATAAACTTCATTTTTCAGAGTTTTGCTGGTTTAGCCATTATGTTTCCTAGAGTCCCGAGGTCGGCCTGACAATCCGCCCCAGGTCGTCACAACCACAGGCAGTCGAACCTCTTGTGAATCAGAGGGAGATTTCCCACCATGCGACTACTAGTTTGACACCAAGACGGTTGTGTTCGTTTTTTTAGCTTGGCTTCCTTGTGGAAACGCCGGGCCCCTTCTCAACTTGGGAGACTCTGCCAAGAGGATGAATCCCTGCTGTATATCGCAACCCGACACCCACGAACACCACCCAGCCACGAAGAGGCGGAAAACCGTTGCGAGGCTGACGCTTTGCTTCTCGAAAAGAAAAGATGATGGCGTTGGAGTTTTGATAAGAATAACACACTACATTTATTACTCCTTCTCACTCGCGCGATTTGGCTCTGTCCCATCGCGGCCATAGCTTTCTATAGTTACAAGATATCGCAAAGAGGTGATGGAATATTCTATCATCATGGGAGTTTTGCGGTCTCATCCGGATATAGAGCTATTTTTTTTTGCTTGCTCAACAAACGCTGATGAACACACCTACCAACGTTATCACGCTTTTCTGCAGTCTGTAAAAGTTAGGACGAATTTCCGGAAATAACAGTAAGGGACATGCAGAACTAAGACAATCTATCAACATACCAATATCTGCGCAATAGTCATCAGAACCAAAAACAACAGCGTCCAACTTGAAAAAACCAGAATTCTTATGAAGATTCAATGTGGACGACAAAATCCTAGGCATATCCAAAAGAGCACGGGCTGATTCTATCCAAATGACCAGACGAGTACTCTAAAATATTACGGGAACATTACAAAATCTTGAAAGAAAATGCTCAGAACAAACCATGAAGAGACCATCAAATTGTTGTACTAACTGTGTCAGTGACTCGCTTAGGAGTGTAGTTACTTCTGAAGATGTCATAAATAGTTGCAACGTCCTCTGGTGTATCCACCTTCGGAACCATAAATGCTTGTGGTAAACTTTCTGCCTTACAAACTTCCTATAAAAAAAAAGTATAAAACGCTTACGAATAGCATTTCTGAACATATAATTCCTGAAGTTGCAGACTTTTAAAGACAACAGACTACGGATACTTGACCAGTAGGATATCACCAGCACCACTAGTCCCGTTGATCGTCGAGTGACTCGAACGGGCGTCGGTAAGTCTTTCATTTTTCCCTGTCGCGTGCAAGAGTAGCCCAGCGGGTTCTGCTCTCTCTAGAGACTCGTTGAGCATCATATCTTTCTTCAAGGCTCTTTGTGAAGAACTCTGACCATCGGATCGGTGGTCCTCCTGCAATACATTTGACATCCCGAGGAATCCAGTCACTAACGGCTCCTGTCCATCGGTTGTCATTCATACGCATTACGTGTGCGGGCCCACCTTATCTTGGACTGTTTGGCGCACAGAACGGCACCTTTGATTTGCCATGCCCACCTTTTCGACTCAATGGTGCCTCCTGCCCTAACGTATGCGCCAGAAACTTGGTCGCTGCATAAGCAGGATGAAAGATCACTCAACGTTATCGAACGCGCAGTCGAAAGGACGATGCTAGGGGTATCCCATTTCACACAAGTAAGAGATGGGATCCGTAGCTCCGACCTGCGTCAACAGCCAGTAGGGTATTTCAGACAATTAAGAATCTCACCGAGATTTCAGTCTATCGCTTTAGTTATACTTCAAGAAACCGAATGAAACCTATAAATCCCAAACAGTTTTTTCCAATTTTAAATACGTTTATAATTACGATTTTCAAGGAATTACAAAAAAAATTGCATTTTCAAAATTTTCAAACAAGTGCGGTAGCCGCAAATATCAGCTGCACATTGGGAATACCCTCTCGGGGAGAAAACTGAAGCAAAGAAACCTATGAAATACGCTTCATTGGCACCAAAAAATCGGAATTTCATCTTGCTAATATGAAACAACTTGAATATAATAGGCAAAGATATGTAGAATCTAACAATTTTCATTGCAATTAATAGCTTAGTCTTAATTAGACCTTCCTAAACTCTAAAGAACGAGGAGTTCCCCGAAACGTCAGCCATTACTGTACTGAATAGACCTTGTCATTAACAACCGCGTCCATGCTCAAGAAGAAAACATTCCGACTAACACAATTTACTAAGAGGTGAGCAATGTTAGTTTACAGTTGAAACCGTCCATTAATTTCGCATGAAATGCACTGTACTCAATGCAGATGGGGCTTCACTTTAAAAGGCAAAAGCTACGTACGAAACCAAAAGAATGCCTAGAACATCACTAAAAAAAGGTTTTCGAGAAAGAATCACGTAAAACGTGAATGAATAACGAAAAAACGAAACAAACTACGTGTGTTGACACCTCTCATAAAACCCACCAGACCTTAACTTCCTTCAGTGCTTGGAAAAATTTAAAGCTATGTTAAAGACAGCAACTAATGGCAGTACACTTCACCTTCACATCGTCATCCATTAGTCCGCTTGAAACTGAGTTCACTCGTAAGCCTAACTCAAAGCAGTGCAGTTGCTGTCTCAATAGTTTGTCTAGAGCATCTACAGCTTGACGACGTGCCAACGCTTTTGAAGTCAATGCCACCCCATCCTCAAGCTCGAGCACAACACAGTCTGCCTTAATTACCTTATATTAATCATATCTGTCCACTTACACTTACTTTTACTACTTCCAACAAATCGAATTTCAAATATCCTCTTTTTCAACGACCAGATTCTTATTAGCAAATTTCCACGTTTCACCATTACCATCTAATAAACCTCATCTTTTTGACGCTGAGAAGTTTAGCTCTGCATTCATGTCAGACTAAGCTTTTTCCAGTATCATATTACAATTCAAAAGCCGGTATTCTAATCTCTCGCTATATTCAAGCATCGTCCAATGGTTAACCACCTCATCGTGGCTGGGTGATGTCCTTGGGTATTAAGCTGCGATGTATAGCGGGGTGATTCATCCTCCTAGCAGGGCCACCCACCTAAGCTGTGCAGGGGTCCGGCGTTTCCATCAGCATAACAAATCTCCCTCTGATTGATAAAAGCGGCGAGCGTCTGTGGTGATGACAACACGGGCAGACCTTGGCTAGGCTGACCTAGGCATGCCGGAGAACCACAATGGTTAAACGAACAAAACCCTTAGAAAATGGAAATTATGCTGCGGCCCTCACAACCAGTGATCACGAGCCATCCAACTACATAAGTACTTGGAAACTTGGATGGCGGTAAACCATTGGCAGGCAAGTACACAAGTAGTGAAAACCCTGAAATGTTGGAAACATAAGAAGGAACCATAACGTGCAATCACAGAGGTAATATTTCATCCAGAAGTGTTGGATCTGAAAACCAACAAATCAAGATGGTAAAAATATTGCTTGGACGTACCGCACATCCATGCGAATGACAGACGAACCGGCCGCGCACTTCCATCTGCTATCATTGCCCTTTAGTACCCTTTACCACGACCTCTACGAATTAGTCTTTTTGCGACTTGTTTTCTAACAGTTTTGAAATCTTCACGTCATAACGAAGTCGGTGGGGGCACATCTTGTTATGAATAAAGACATAGCAATTCTGTACAAAGGGATTTTAACGTACTCACAGAGCTCCACAAATGAAACAAATAAAAGAGGTAAGTCTAGTAAGCCTTACCAACTTTAAACTAATACTCATTATGCAGTGATCTTACAGGAAAGGAAAACACCATCTAACTTTCACAATTTCTCAAGGTAGCCAACAGAGTTTCGATGAAACTACTTAATCACGTATATACCTGGATATTTGGCACCTTGTCAAGCATCTTTTGACTACTGGTCGGTACGTACAGCAATGAACGACGAGGAATGTACTTCACTCGATCTTTAACACCGGCAAATTGTGAAGATAAACGCCAAGAACTTATAGCGATACGACGCATCTAAATCTGACGTTTGCTACGAACATCAACGAATGATCTGCTCAGTACTGCACGGTAAATAAAATCTCCAGCTTTCAAACCCCTACCGGTTATTAAAAAAATACGATTTCGATGACTCCACATAGTTTCTATGAATGCTACCAATAGATCCCAAAACAAAAACCGTTTTACGTTGTACTACTTTATCATAGTGACTTAAATACAAATCACCACACTGCAAAAAGAATTCTCTACCGACAACAACCGGGTGCATTCTATATACAGACTTAGTACAATAACCTAAAGGTTGTACAGATAAGTACAAGAAAAGAACACAGAATGGTGATGCACCAGAGGTTTTTTGACACGAAATATAAATATGAACAAAAAATCATGGAAAATCCCACTTGACATTACATTACATAAGTGCAGAGCCGATCAAGCGTATTTCGGAACAGCGTATTTAAGGAACACATTTTCACATGAAGCGAATTTCCAAAAAAAGAGACCTAAAGCTTCAAGTAAGGAACTACACCGTTGCCACCGAAGGAGCAGATTTCGAAAAATATCAACTTGATTTTTCGGAAGCGTTCAGTTAGAGGGAATTTTCATATACAAACAAATGAGTTATGAAGTACTTCAATTGTCATCTAGTTGAGAAAGATTGAACGGTATTACGAAGAAAATTATTGGAAAATTGATAGAATAAAGAGAACAAGAACTGAACTGTGTCTACACCAATTCATTCAGTATGAACGCACATGGACCATGCATGCTATGCTAAGACGTCTACCTAAAATCTCTTGAAAGTAGTTTACACTGTATACCTATTTCTGCACAACATATCTTTACAAAACAGTAAACCACGTTATGTATGCAAAACACACGTTACCCTTTATACCTTCAAAATCCTATTTAGCACAATTGTGACAATTTCTTAGCTCTATGGATCCCATCGAATTTGTAAAAACAACCCTAAAACGCCTAAAAATGCAAGGCCGATCTCAGTCGTTGCCATCACCATGCTCGCGCACTTCGGCCACAAACTTATCGAACACGCTTTGCTTTAGTGAAAACTGCTCCAACTAAAAGTATCTAGCCACAAAAGTGAATAAAACAAGAAAGAAATCATGTCACATAAAACAAGCACAGGAAAAAGCTAAAGCTGTATAAAGAAAATCCATAAAGTATCAGATATTTGGATGGCCCGCCCTCACTAGTTGTGTGGGCCCCATCCCAATCTCCATTTTTTCGGAGTTCTGGTTTAGCCACTGTGGTTCCCGGAGCCCTGAGGTCAGCCAGGCCAAAGCCTGCCTCAGGTCCTCACTACAACAGACGGTCGCTGTCCCTGCGGACCAGAGGGACATTTGTCACCATGCAACTAGTTTGATACCAGGACTGTTACGGATCCTGGTACTGGTTTACTCTTTGCTGGGTCTCCTGCAAGAAACGCCGGACTCTTCAGCTTGGTAGACCCTACCAGGGAATGTATCCCATGCTGTACATCGAAGCCCGATACCTAGGAACACCTTCCAGCCACGATGAGGCGATAAACTCTAATATACACGCGGTCGTTGGTTCCACCTCAACCGCCAGGATCGACAAACCTTCGACTACTCCGGTGTTGACAAATTAGTACTATAATAGTCGGGGGGCAGCACCACTGAGTTGATAGCTCGGTAGGTAACTGTAAGAGGTTGTATAGCTCGGATATGCATTAAATCACCTCTAAAGACACTTTATTAAATCGAATGCATAGCGCACCACTCAGAAATAGATAAACGCCCAAAGCTCAATGCCCTCTCTCCATATATACATATACATATATATTTGTATATATATGCACATATATGTATATATATGTACACACACATATGTACATACATATATACGTATATATGTGTATATATACAAATAAATGAGAGTAAAACGGTAAAGCTCCTTGCGTTGTTCAACCCATGTGCGATGCGCAGCGCATTCAACTTCATTAAGAATCGGTAGAGGTAATTGCATGCATATCTGACCTACCCAATGACTGACAGTGGCCTACTGACGTGTCGAGTCAGTGCTGCTATCTTCCCAAACAAGTCTGGTACCAATTTGTCGAACTCTGAAGGAAGGAGGGTTTGATGAGCCTGGGGCATGGGATCGATCCCATGTGTATTGCAGGATGATACTACCCACTGCGCAACACGTGCCCCAATATATGCATAAATATATGTGTATATATATGCATATATGTGTGCACATATGTACATATCTGTATATGTATACATATATATTATATTATATATACACATATATATATATATCAAGTCTCTATCAAAGCGACATTACTTTATATGTAGAAAACGACTCACTAAACTCTGAATATCATTCAACGTATCCCACTCTTGGGGTACAGCCAGAAGTGGAGGTGGAGCTTTACAAGATGTCATAAATTCCGTTAGATGAACATCAAGCTCTCCTTCCTGCGCAGCCTCGCCAGAAGTCCGACCGAACAATGGTATCTGTATAATCTATTACGATGAAATCATAAAAACAATTGCAACGGAAAAAAAAATGCACACCCTTGTCAGAACAATATGCTGTATGACATATTTCAATCAAAGGTTCCTAATTTAAAAAAAGAAACCTTCACGAAAGAGTCATCGTCCGACGTGCCAATGACTTCATCAGGGTCCCCATCCGAATGCTTGATTGTTGTTACTGATTCACTTTGGTCTTCAACACACTTGTCACCCTTGTGCACGCTCCCACTTTGACTGTCGCTATCACGGTCGACAAGTGTCCGCTCGCTACTGTCTAGTTCAACGTTTGTCTTCGCAGCTTCCTCTGACTCCGCGTTACCTACTTCGGGATTGTCGTCATCTGAAAAGTTAACTACTATTGCCTTTAGTTACGAATTACCAACAGTAGAACACATTAACTAAGTACATGAAATAGGAATACATTTATTACTGCTACAATTACTAATAACTACAGTACTACATGAGCTGAGAACTCGATAACCTTTGTAAAAAGCATTATCCTATCGCTCCAAATGTTACTGTTTTTGTTATAAAATATTTTAAGTCTTTGCAAATAAGAAAATTCTTAAGAAAAAATGAGAGTAAAATTTAGAACTTCGAAGTTTTTAACCGATCTTCCACGCTACATACGTCAACAACGCGTTCGAAGCCATTATCTTGTCATACTAGGCGAGATTCCGGTTATTGAATTACTTCGCTGTGCGAAATACAAATCTCGATGACAAATGATAGAAGAAACGCTTCGCGGGCGTGAAATCAGAATTCCATCGTCTTAGAATAAGCAAACTTCTACCTTACTGCCAAAGATACATAGACACTAATAGATTCCAGTTCACTTGCTGAGATACGTTTGCTTAAAGCTAAGAGGAGAAACTTATTTTCATGCACTTACGAATAACATGTTATTCATGCCGGGCAGTACGTGTAGAGGACGGACTGGACGACATATCCAAATTTTTGCAAAAACCATATTTGTAACAACTTCCTCATATACATGAACAACCACGACTTAGAGCTTCAGTTCAAGTGACTAAAAACTTCTGCATTGCACATTTCGAAATCTGTTAAATGGTTAGAGTAGGATACGGAAACAAAAGTTCTGAAATAAAACCTACTCATTTGCTTTAGCTGCTTGCAGATGCTTGAACCTGTATTGCTGCGGTTCTCTTCATCAACTTCTTTGTTTTCCGCTTTAGACGTGGACGCAGCGGCAGTTACAGCTGCATCGCCCAGTAATCGTGAAAATGAGCCACAACGAGAGGGCGTATGCCCATTGCCCTCCGCTATCGCCGATTCAGAAGCTAAAAACAGCCTTAAGCATCCTTGGAGAATCTTGAAGGAAAGTTTGATTTCAGCTAGTGCGAGTAAAACAAAATCTCAAACAAAACCGCTACAAATAGATAGACAGTGGTAATAAATACAACAGCACAAAACAGAATATCGAAAAAGACAAATATACCATGCAAAAATCCCTAGCTCTATCTACAGACAACACTAAATGATGGATCGCATATATCACCATCAACTGAAAAAACCAAGAACAAGTGAAGCCCGCATGCATTCTAGAGGAGAATAAAGGTGCCCAGTAGGCAACATTCCCTTATATAAACCAGAAAATACCATTCTCTTCAAACGAAACCCTTTGCTTTCCTCCTAGAGTAGATCTAAAGTTTCCAATAATTTATTCGTATAATTTTAATCAACTCGACATATAAGATACAATACAAATACGCGCAATTGTCGGCAAATTAATAAGTACCTATAAATACATAAATAAGAAGGCATCAAATATCTAGTGTAGTAGGTAAATTAAAGCCTATCCTATGTTCGTCTTCGGCGAGTAATAGTGTAGCTTAAGGTGTGTTTAATCTCCTGTCCATATCTAAAGGTGCGTGTAGCGGCGCAATGGTTAGAGCTTCTCCGCAACGTACATAGCTGTTTAGTTGATTCCGTATTAAGAGATACCCAAGCTCCATTCCTTCTAGGCCGACAAATTAGGGCAATATTTGCCCGGGAGCATAAAAAAACAAACTGGTACATCGATAAGCCTCCACAAGCTAGTTCACAAGACGAATATCCATTTACACACACCTCTATAATGCTTAATATATGCGTGACGTGCTGCAATGCATAACGCAACCCTAAAGTGGAAAATCTATGCTGACCGCCTTCTCCTCCTCATTGAGACCAGCTCCAAGCAACGTCGTGCTTAACTAAGTCCAGATCAAACATTTGTAAGATCCGCCACTTTTCACAGTTCAGTTATTAAATTGGGCTTGCAACGCAGTGGTTAGAGGTGCTTTTCAACACACAAGTGGTCTTCGGCTCCATACCACGCCCCGCGCTCGCCAAAGCACCCATCACTACGGGGTTGCAAAATGGTATCGGATTTGTTTGAGAAGATAGCAAAACTGACTTAACGCATTCATAGATCCCCATAGTTGCATAGGCCACATATGCATTCAATCAACTCTAATGATGCTTGTTGAAGTCGAATAGATGAAGCATCCCTCCAGGCTTGATCATCGTCGAATAATTTAACTTTTCAGAATAATAAATTCAACGAGGAGCAAAGAGTAAAGAATAAAGCTCCCGCCGATGATCAATCCTTGAGAGATGCGGTATGCATTCGACTTCACCAAGCATCGTCAGAGATGAGTGAATGCAATTACAACCTTTACAATGATTCGTGGTAGCCTGCTGATATATCGAGCCAGTGCTGCTATCCTCCCAGAAAAGTCTGGTACCAATTTGCCGACCCTGGAGGGATGTAAGGCTTGGTGAGCATTGGGTGCGGTAACCGATCCCATATGCGTTGTAGGGCACCACCAAACACTGTGTTTGCACGCGCCCCTAGAAGAGACATAGGAACTCATATCAGATCAAATCAAAAATAAACCACTACAAAACCAGAGAAGTGGATAAAAATAGACAAGTTGTTATCTACAACTGTTAGATCGCCGAAAAGTTGGTCAAAAACTTTCGAGTTTTTTAAGTTCATTTTGGTCAGAATTCTTCAAGTTGCTACATAGTTACTATATGATCTGATCAGGTTGATAAATCACATGAGATCGACCCTCGGACGGGAAGTCAATATTGTTCATCTAAAACGTTTACGACTGCAATTTGATGAAACAGCTTCGACCATGATCTCGTAGAAGTTAGAGAAATGCTTACGGTGGGTGAACTTTTTCAAAATCCGGAAAAGTTGGAGACCATATGGCATAAAATAGAAACACAATGCACGACGTCGTGTAAGAGAAAAATTGGAGCTTGTCTCAGTCCCACCTAATGTTGAGTGCCAACGTCGAACTCGAATTAAACGACTAAATCAACCAAGCAATTTTTTCCAGTTTGTTCTTTTATGTCTTTTTAAATGACATTTTAATCGCAAAATTAAAGAAATGCCGGAAGATTTTAAAGCACATCCGAATATAGCATAATTAAAGGTTGTTTAAAAGATTTTGAAATCTACAATAATTTCTTCCCACGTCAATAAGTACATACTATTTGTTTACTCTACCCTATTTTATTTGGAACGACCCGTCTTCAAATCTACTGTGCGGACCTCAGCATATCTTGCACTCTAATCGTTGCTTCGCACAGATCATCCACGAAGGCCTTCGAACATTTAGCTTGTTGCTTTGGCTGCTGCTTGATGTTTTTATCCGCCTATGAATACCGTATATCCTGGTCAAGCCGTTTCTCCATGTAGCTGGTAAGACCGTGCTAGGAAGGTCCCATGTGGATTAGAGGGAGTGAGTTGATCACAGGCAAGTCTGACACTAATTCGCCGACGTTCTGGGGATGACTGCCTTGGTGTGCACGTGGCGAGATTGAACCAGCACCGTGCTCATGAAGAACGGCACCATTGCCACTACCCCATCCGCTCCTACGTGCAATAATATTTCTATAACACTATGAGAAAATACAGGTATCTCCAAAAAAACTAAAGTGGAGAGAAAAGGCTACATAAAACCAAACAGGTGCACAATAGAATAGAAAAACTGGAGAAAAGTGAAGGTATGTACACATGCCATAATAATAGGAGAATTAATGCAAAAATTCAAGCAATCTGACTTACGGCATTTCTTCCGTCCAACTGCCTCCTCTGGCAATGGGAATAACACTCCTGTATATGATACGGTTAAAAGGTTGGCGAATGGCATATTTTTCGGCACAACCTGGAAAATACTAAAACTTAGTCACTTTTCTCCAAAACAAGAATGAGCCTTCTTTTTAGTAGTTATTCTTGTAAACAGAATATCCCTCACCAAATGTTGTTTCGGTTTCGGACTTCCCGACGCAGGATCACCGTCGCTAGCCAAAGAAGTTGAACGCGACCTTCAAAAGTGTATCGAATTCAAATGAGGAATGGAAAAACACTATCTCGATATTAACTTAAACACACCTTGCAGGCGTGAGTGCCTGATTAGTTGGATCAGGAGGAGATGTTGCAGGCTGCAAAAAAACTAAATTAGTAACTAGGGAGGAACAGCTGTAGTCCTTAAATAAAGTAACAACGGTTACAAAAAGGAAAATCATGCGCAAAAGGCACTAGTGTAAAGAAAACCATTAATAACAACAAAGTACCAAGCTTGATGGGCTTGTGCTGAGTTCGCTCATCAGCTCACAATATGAAGATGGTGCTGGCGACCCCACCGCAGTTCCAACGTCCGGTGCCACCACTATGCTCATCTGGAATCGGAAAGAGGCTATGAAGTCAAAGAAATATTTGAAGCAATACTCGAAATAACTACACATTTCATAAATAATGGCAGGTTTTATTTATGTAATACTCTAATTGAAGAGAGGCACAAGTATAGTGAAACAATTACCAAGAGAAAACTATAGAGGAAAATGAAATGCAGTTTGCACGAGTAATAAAAATGACACTGATTAGTAAACCGCAATGTATTTTTATGACGTTTAACATCGTAGAAGCAGCTCAAATAGAAAAAAGGTTACAGGATAAAGCGATTGACTTTCATTCACCTCTGAGTGGTGGCCCGTATGTTCGGCTCCTTTAAGCATCGCAGAGACAAATGAGTATATATTTTGCCCACACAATGACATCCATAAAGGTTATCAAGCGTTTTATCTCCACCAACAATTCTAACATGAAATTTCCGCCCACTATGAATGCGCTTGTCGGTTAGTTCGAGCCGCGGAATCGAAGCAATGACCGTGTGCTTTACACTGTATATCTAAGTACTGCGCTACAAGCACGTTAAGTACGATAAGGTTTGTTATTACGTGTTTGCTTACTCTTTTATGAACTACAATTTTAAACATTTGAACGACTTATAGTTTTCTTCAAGCATGTACCTGATTTGGAGATTCATGGCCGTCACGGGGTGACAACGCTCTCTCCATTTGAGTGCGATAAGCGACTTCTAGTCTGAATGCTCCTGCAGGTGTTGGAAAACGTCCGAGTTCTAATCGTTTTGCTTCCGTTCCAAGATCCAATTCGGATAACCCCTCGCCCAATTTGTACAATATCACGAAGGTGTCGCAGCTTTGTTTCTTCACGTAGTACCTGTAAAAGAAATCCGAATACAGAAATTCTTAGATAATATGAAGGAATAAAAACAGTTTGCAAGGAAATGAGATTCAAACTTTGAATTCCATCATACCACGAAGAAAAACAAAACCAAAAACGAATTGGGTTGCACTTCAAATGTTTAGAGGTTATAAACTACTAAGAAACGTTGTTATCAAAAACATAATTAAGCTTACTCCACCGTTACCATTACAACGCTGAAAAACTATAAAACTATAAAAGACCAGAATCAGAATCGATGAAAGAAATTAAGCGTTATGTCGACACAGCAAAAATATCACCTGAAGGGTTCTCATCGCCTTAAATGTAAAAAGAAGTACTAAAGTAGGTCCTCGTTATTCAAGTAACTCTCAACAGGTTCCTGAACAGAACCCACCTATGCAACGGCGTCATTCTGGCCGCCACCATTGCGCTCCGTAACATTACGCTTAATTGTAAATACAACTGCGATCTGATATCGTTGGCCCATTTAGTTTGTTGGTCCTCTTCGTCGATTGAAAACGTCCTAAAGATAATTGATAGCTATTCTGTTCTCAAATTTTCCATAACAGCATTCACTCTTGTTCCGATATGATGACGTTCCAGTAATACGAGGTCACTACCGGTAAAAAACTAATCGCATGACCAAATACACATAAAACAGTATGACATAATCCACTACAAAGTAATGCCATTCATTATATATCCAGTAACACAAGATGTCTTAAGTTGTGGAATAAACTACAAGGCGGGTAGAGAAAAACGAGAAAAAGGAAAAGCAGAAAAAATGTGGACTGAAAGAAGTTTTGGTATACAGACTTAGCAAACAGGAAACTCTTGGAGAAAATTAACAAAGCACTTGGAAATAGTTCTCCATCGCAAATCTTCAATAGGAGACCGATAAATATAGATTTAGTAATAATAAGAACAGAAACGACGAAACAGTAAAAGAAAGTGCACATGTTACAAATCTATACCAACACTGTAATACAGTCAGTGTAAATTTCTAAACCCAAAAGAAGTTCGTGATCTAGTAATTACGTACCAGGTTTCCATTGGTAACACTTCACCGTCACAAGTATATAACAAAAAATCGATAGATATACATTTAATGACGGGTGGAAAGCTGAAATTATGCGCCGTATATTAGATTATTAGATTCAGATATAGATGATGGAAACATTCCATTGAGAAAAAATATAAATATATTGCAAAATCTCAGAAAAATTATGTTCAAAATAACCTGCTGATGCTCCTCTTAACTTGAGCAGACACCTCGCCTAATTCATCAATTCGAAGATTGAACCAATCCGGAGAATTCGAAGGTAAAGTACATTCAAGATTGAACTTCTCATTAGTTCGTGATTGCACCACTACCTAAAGCTTTGAAACATCCTTGAAGTGATGTAATTCAATTTTTAAAAAATTGACTTGAAAGCACTAATATGTTGTGGAAACAATTTGCAAGCATTGATTTCAACAAATCTCTTACACAGTGTACACAGTCCAAACTAGAAACTTAATTTTCGTAAAAACAACCACAACGTTGCTGACATACTTGCAAAACTCTGGACCACATGTGTCTATAGTGGAGCCTATCTCTCAGCTAGTTCTATTGATCAGCCCCATCAGCAATCACCCGTCAACGGGACTGATTTGGGGAGCCCACATGGGCATTGAACCCAGTTAAACTGAGGCTAGAGTAGCTGAGAAACAGGCGAAACGAAGGACCTGCATGATGTGGTGGTAAACGCGTTACTCCCCGAAAAGGACAATAGCGCGTTTGTTCCCCACCATAGACACCTGCGATCTTGAGTTTTGCAAATATCTCAGCAACGTTGTGGTTGTATTTCGCTAGTACCCTGCTGTGAAAATTGTAGTAGGCAAAAAATAAAAGGTAAAACATTGTGATTTTGTAAAAACGTTGGACCTCCCAACGATTAACCGCCTCATCGTGGATCGCAGTTGTTCCTGGGTGTCAGGATGCGATGTACAGCGCTGGAATTCGTACCCCTATCAGGGTCTCCCAAGCCAAGAAGGAGTCCAGCATTTCCATTAGGAAGCCTTGCTAAGAGTAAACCTCTATCAGGATTCAACACTGTCCTGGTATTAAACTAGTCGCACGGTGGCAAATTTCTCTCCAATTCGTAAGGGCGGCGACTGCCTGTGGTGGTGACGACCTGAGGCAGACTTTGGCTAGGTTAACATCGGGATCGCGAGAAACTACAATGGCTAAACCAGCAAAACTCCGAAAGAATGGAAACTATGCTAAGGCCAACGCAACCAGTGAGGACGGGCCATCCAAGAATCCAAGAATCCAAGTATCCAAGTAGGATATGTTAAAGGAGGCAGAATGCGGTTTCTAGAGAATTGGAATCTTCAAAGCTAATAGGCTTTAAATCCACACAGTGAAAAGTTCGAATACACCACTATATTATCATGAAAAATTCAAGTTATCCACATGCTCTCAAGTCCGTAATTTAGATGATACCAACAGATGTAGCATTCCGAACTCCCTTTGTTTGGTTTGGACTTACATCTACGGAGTTGTTTTTATGCTTCAACGTCTCAAAAACCGTAAATAGTTTAGATAGCGAATACCTGAAAATGTTTTACAACTACTGAACCCATGCGTTGTTAGCGCGCCTACACCACTTGTTCTCACAATGACTGAGCTAGTCAAGTAGTTGACCACTAAAGTCTCAATCAGTGCACATCGAATGGCATACTTGACAAGACCATAAGCGCCTCCATACATGGTCTTTGTGGTCAAATATGGCCATAGTCTCGACATGTTCCTTTAAGGACGCACGAGACAACAGCTGGAGACTTTTGTCCGATGGCTTCATAAACTCTACTAATTTCCAACATCATAGCATACGAACCAAAGCTCTTAACCTTCCATTGTTGACCTCGTTAGTAACTTCTCGCTTCCCTCATCTGAATGAAACAAGACTATTAAAAGACAGTGCATCAACCTTTCTAACGACCGCCTTCTCTAGGTATAATCTGTATCACTGTCACATGTACTGCCGAATTCGCCAATATTTTTTACGCCTAGAGAATTCCAAACGTTATAAGAATCATATCACCAGTGAAACAAAGATGGTTCAGCACCTAGAAATCACTCCATGCTTTCCTAATTTGATTTTCTTACGATGTTCTCAAAATCTTGATTTATGGTTGAGCTTCTCTCTTCACGTCGACGACTGTCGCTGCACATTCATGAAATTCTGCAAACAATCCACTTGCGTAGCTCATGAAGCTTTTTGTGTTTCAAATGATTCAAAGATCTTCCTTACAGAGAATGCGACAAAGGTTCATCTTGTTCTCTTGAGAAACAGTTGTTTCATCGTCGTTTATTACGAAAAAGTTTTGCTCGACCCTGTGGCATTTCTCGACCTTTATTAGTCTCTTCGGTTTCGCCTTGCACTTTGGACGTCTGCTTGATTTTAATCGACAAGAAATTTCAAAATTTAGCAAGACCCTCATCTTCTACTTCTTTGCTGCACTAGCACTTGCCATAGCCGCCCTTGGTTGAGCGACATTTGCATATGTTGTTTACACTTCATTCCAATTTATAAGCTACCCTCTCCTATTGCCGGTTTAATCCTTACTTGTTTGGTTGTCTCTGCGTACTAACTTCTTTATTGTGTAACTGTTTATACTGTATACGTTATATAAACGGCTGGCTTGCGCAATGGTTAGAGGTCCCTTGCAGCAAACATGTGGCCGTTGATACCACTCCACGCCCCACGCTCGCCAATCCTTCCGTCCCTCCGAGTTCAGCAGATTAGTGTCAGAGTTGTTTGGAAAGATAGCAGCACCGACTTGATACACCGGCAAACCACTACAAGTACAGGCCAAATATGAATTCAAGCAACTCGAAAGACGCTTGATGAAGTCGTATGCATATCTCACTAACGCCGAAAGCTTTATCTTTAATATTATATAAAGGTCTACTTGCCAAATTTTGGGGATTAGTGAAACAGCAACATATTTGCAAGATTTGAGTGGCAAAGGCGCGTCACATTTTAACCAGCATTAGCTTCCCTAAATCCTAGTTATTCGTATAGCTATCCTTCGGCAACTGTTCTGCTTACCCTGTTAAACATGACTCTGGAAGCGGTAAAGGAGGGGTAAACAGCAAACATTAGAGAGACTGAGTGATGGTTGCCGACGGAAAGTATATTTCCCAAATGATGTGTTTGATCAAGACGTTCTCTAAGCGTTTTCAACTGCGAGAAAAAGTACCAGACTTCGAAAAGGACAACCATTTTGTCTGTAGTGCACACCCGTCCTTGGTTTGAAACAGGAACTCATGGAAACGATCTTAAAGAAAATGTCCACTATTCGAGAAGACCACCGATTCAGCAGTAAATCGGGTGAAAGAAATCGAAAAGTGACGCCACCTCAACGAAGATGCTAATTTCCTCATTTACAATGCATTCTCTAATATGACGAAACACAGGCATCTACATAGGAGGATGACTATTACCTCATTCTCGTAAAAAAAGAAAACACTGTCAGAGAGATTAAGATGCTTCGGTACAGAACACCACTTTCTTATTTGGAGCTCTGAAGTCTTCTACTACTAATGAGCTCGAAGATTACTTGCTGGCAATACTCTGTGAAAAACCGAACAGAATTCAGCTAACACGAGAAGTCATTCTTCGATTACAACATGACAATAAATTCTTAACGGATTTTTCAGAAATTCGGACTTTGGGAATGTTTAACACGCAGCGTATTCAACCTAAAAATCTGAGATCATAAACTATAAAACGGATGCCTCAAAGCTCCAAAGTGAAAATTACCGCTTTACAAAAAGGTTAGATCAACACCTGTCGGATTAAAAAAAAAGGTAATGTCACACGATCACAAATGGGTGTGCTGCCTTAGAAGTGTTACTGAGCCACTCAGTTACTAAAGTAATAAGTGGGTTATTTGATACAACAAAGCCATGAAAAATTTGTAAGGCTAACAAATATAAGAAAAAGATTGAAGAGGAGAAGATCACGCATCGGATAATGTCGAATACTATAAAAAAGATAGGAAAACTAGGGAGGGTTATCTAGAATAACCAAAATATGGAAACAGTATGGAATGTAAGTAAAAACTCAAAAAGAAAGATTTTATGCCGACACAGGTCTGTTCACGCACCACTACATAACAATATAGAAAAGAGGAAACCAGCAACTAAACAACTTAAAGCCCAAAATTTGAATTAAACAAGCAAAGACTTGAATACTTAGAAGGACGGTGCATCCGTGGGAGGTGAATTCTGTGTGCAATTATTAAATGTGCATAAAATAGCGCTACATAGAATCCGTACAGGCTCTCCAGGAAGGTGAAGCCCCCGAAACCTCAGCTAACGAACCACAACAACAACAACAACAACCACAACTGTTATCAATCTCGCGTCAGCTCAACAAGAGGAGCTCGTGAGAATTCCTTATACGTTCATATTGCACATAACGAATTCTACGACGGTTTTGAAGCAAGCGAAGCAGCCAAAGTGTTACCGACAAGACTGTTTTGCAATAGTTTCCTGCTGGCTTGAGGATGCGACACAGTACAAAGTAGTGGGTGTTTGTGAAGAAGCTATTTTGTTTCCAATACCATTGAAATCTAGGTTTCGTGGTTTTTCCGCTTAGGTTATGGAAGTATCTGGCTGACTATATTGCAGTCAACATGACCATTCCAGGCTCTAATAAAGGTGAAATCCGAAGAAACGGCAGTTTTTGTAAAGAATGAGTATAGTAGCAACTTCGTGCCTGCTTATCAACAGAACGGCTAGTTACCAATGTCGACGATGATAGGAAGTCGCTTTCGAGATTTATAACAATACTGAATATTCATACCAAGGCTCGATAAAAGTCCACCAGTCGTCCAGATAATAAACACCGCATACCTAGCGCAATATTTCTTATGAAGGATTACACAAAGTAAAACAAAACAAGGAAACTAGTGAAGAGATCGCATCACAACCCTCTTTGCTGTTGACCAATGAAATAGACCTCAACGTACTACACCTACTTCATACTCGACCGGAGTGTAATCATGAAGAGTCGCAGTATGATTTCATTGAAACGTTAAGCTGCTTGCGTAGCAAAACTTCCTATTTGGAGTTTCAAGCAACGCGTCCCAAGACTTCCATCTCTCCATTCCCTTACCCAGCAGTTAAACACCCGAGAACAAATTCATTCATAAGGTGACAAATCATTCAAGATCAACATATTATAGGCATTTAACACCTTGTAGAGTGTTACATAATGATTCTTTCTCCTCTACCTACCTCCTTATTCTATCTTTTCAACTGAATCACACCGCTAAAGCCACATAGTTCCTGCTTGCACATTCCATTCCCACAAACGTTTCAACCTTAGGTTATTACCAGAGATGTTACAAAGTGCAATAGTAAAATAAATGATAAAACTAAAGAAAAAGTAAGCTAAGTAGGAATATAACGAATGAAATTGGAGCAACACCAGTACCTGAACAAGCCTCGTGGAAAAGTAGCGACCATATTGCCGCAAAGTCCGCATATACTCCGGATTCTCGGACGGTACCGTCGTCGACGATGATCCCGCTACGACTTCATCAAGTACAGCAGCAGTTGCGAGCGAAGAAGAACTGCTAGTCCGCATCTCCTGGAAACTCCTAATCTGACCACCGTTCGGAAATCAGCATCAAATGAACCCTTATGCGTGGATTCAGAGAGCGAATAAATATTGATGTATTGGCGGCAGATGATGCCACGAACAAGCGACGTTTCCAATAATTACAACAACAAACAAGCGCAGATAAGACCTCTAATAAGGTCGCCCAGGAACAGAATTCCCCAGCAGAAGAGAAATCGAGCTATAAATAAACCTATAAACAAATATATTCGTGCACGTTAGAGCAGGAAATGGATTTAAAAAAGCGTTCGTTCCACCTATTTCCCACGAAAACAAGGTGTTTGGCATATGGTGACATGTTTAGTAAAGCCTTAAGTATTAATGAGAAACATTAAACATCGAATTCTCTAAAAAAGTCAGTGAGAGAAGTGGAATAGTGCTATTTTATCCAAGCAAATACACAAAGCAACACTTCGACAATGACCAGAGTGGTACTGAAAGGTAGAAAGTACTGGTACCACCAGCTCTTTTGAAGGATACGCTCAAAACAACACAGTAAAGACAATAAATCACTAGAAAATAAAGTTTCTCACCCGCTGAAGAAGGAATTGGAGACAACGGGTGTAAAATAAACGACGAAAGAAAACGAAAATAATAAGGAACAATCACTTAAGGTCATAAACCATTAGAAACGATCAATACTGTAGGAAAAAACAACAGGTCAACACTAACGTCCTTAAATCTCAACACTAACGCCATTCCTGTCCTTAATGGCACCTTCACTCAGCTGATGACTACGTCACACTAATGTACTTAAGATTTAGCGCGCTGAGATGTTGTTTTCTGCAACCATCGTTGGATTTATAATGGTGTGGTCTCCTCGATCGGACGAGCTTCTCAGGGTTTTCTCGCCATAGGATGTCCTATCTTTCCTTTCTAATGTGTAATCAGATGTTGTAAAGTCTTTTACGAGTCACTGTGGTTGTTGTATACGATGGTTCTTGTTAAGCGATTTCTTACTACTAAACAACGAACGGTCGCCAAAGTTACTCGAAAAAATCGATCTTAACATTGGTTTTCGTATCGAACGCCTATTGATTTCTTCTTTTTTGTGAAGACTATTGACTTTACTTTCAAGTAGTACTGACGTTGGTTATATTACTGTTTGCGGCTACTTATCACTACCAGTTGTTCATCAGTACTATCAAAGTTCATTCAGTACATAACTCCGACAGCCGTTCATCTTCTCACTGATGTAGTGAATGAAGTTCTGCTCGAGATTAAGGCATTCGTCGTCGAACTATAATGATCGATGTTAAAGTTAACCAAACTTGTTTAACGTTATAAAATCTATGGCGATATTACAACAGCGTGAAAAATGACAGTACACGGAAGTTTCATTCTGAATGAAAGTACATCACAAGAATTCCATACAGATTCCATTTGACGAGGACGCATGATAGATAAGGTTATCACCAAGAAACACCGGTCGAATGTCGTTAATCAAAGTCACCATGGTGTCCGTCCATCCGCTCACATGAGCTCCGCAGGCGCCTGCGATCCAACACCTGGCCGCCACGTTATCCACCGGCTTAGTGCTACATCCGTAAGCCTAGGTTTAATGCTAGTAAATTTCATATGTTAGCTATTTGTAAGTATTAAATTATGTGCAGAGCGTGGCGTGTTTCATTGCTGTTTATTTCTCTAGCTTTGTCAGCCTACGCGTGGAATACATTCGGTTGTTTTCGAAACGATGTGGATCAGCTTAGGCAAACACGAAAAGCATTTTGGACAGTGAACATTCCACAACACCAAAACTGGATGTTGAACAGGTATAACGGGGATTCGTCGCGATAGGCTGAGCAGGAGTTCGACATTTCCATCCGTAGTCCACACGTGTCTACTTTATCACCCTAAAACAGTCGAACTAAAGGGCGTTTTAAGGACAGTGTAATGTACTTCCTGTTCTTCGTGCCAGGGGAACACACTGAGTATTTTTTTTCGTTCGAGGGCAATCGGAAACATTACTTTTGTTTGCTAGAAATGTCCTTGTCGCCCGGTGTAGTGAAACACACTGCGTAGTTATACCTTTCTATTTTCTGCCTACTATAATTTCGCGGCAGGGTACTAAGCGAAATACAACCACAACGTTGCTGAGATATTTGCAAAACTCTGGACCGCAGGTGTTTATGGTGGGGAACGAACGCGCTATTATCCTTTCCGGGGAGTAACGCGTTCACCACCACACCATGCGGGTCCTTCGTTTCGCCTGTCTCTCAGCTATTTCTATCGATCTTTTTGCCACAGCAATCACCCGTCAGCAGGGTTGATCTGGGGAGCGCGGAACCCAGTTAAGCTATGGCTATAGTTGAAATCACAATGTTTAACGTTTTGTTTTCTGCCTTCTATAATTTTCATGGCAGTTTACTAAGCGAAATACATCACAACGTTGCTGAGATATTTGCAAAACTCTGGACCGCAGGTGTCTATGGTGGGGAACGAACGCGCTATTATCCTTTCCGGGCAGTAACGCGTTCACCACCACACAATGCGGGTCCTTCGTTTCGCCTGTCTCTCAGCTATTTCTATCGATCTTTTTGCCACAGCAATCACCCTGCGTAGTTTATTCGCAGGTGGGGTGGCACAGAAAATTTACTGGTTTTTTTTGCGTGATTCACTCTATGATTAATGAGGGATTCGACGTTAAACACGTCGTTGTTATCATTAACCTATGAATCTTCCTCGAAGGAGGATTTCGAATCATCTAGTCATCAGCCGACGTTGTACTTTACCACCTGGATAACGCAGGTTGGATGCACACCAGATGCGATCACATACTTGCCCTAAGACTAAGACTAAAATGGATTTCGTGTATAAGCTATCTAGCTATTGATTCATAACATCAGTGTATTTCATGCATGAGTATGTTCGCTACACTTGCCTTCATGTCTTGGACAAAAAATTGTGAACGAGTAGTTTGTAAATACTGCGGCAACGGTGGGGTGGGGGACTCATAGTAGAATCCAAGAAAAACCTGCAAGTGCATCTATCCACCCTGAGCACAGTGCCGTGATCTATTCGACGGTGACCACTTGCTAGTTGAGCTAAAAAAGAGCCCTATTGTTTTTGTAGGGCTATTGTAGCTCACCTTGCAGCTCCGGCAAAGGAGTACGGTGAATCACAGGAACTTTGTTATGTCTGCTTGAGTCAGTAGGTGATTAACCCATAATGCTCGTTATGGGCACTATAGTGTTCATAGCGAACTAGACCAAACAACAATATGGCCTTATAGTTTCCACATTGAGGTTAGTGGATTTCAGAATTATTTTACCGCATTATGCATACTCATTTGATAGCTAGTCGAAACCACATTAAAATAGTAGGGGGATAAAAGGATAAAGCTCTCGGCGTTGATCAGTCCCTGAGGGATGCGCCATGTATTCGACTTCACTAAGCTCGTTTGGAGGCGATTGGATATATCTGGTCTTTAAAGTGACTCGCGGTGGTCTACCGATGTATCGAGCCAGTGGTGCTATCCTCCCAGAGAAGTCTGGTACCTATTTGCCGACCCAGCAGGGACGGAAGGCTTGGTGGGCCATGGGCGTGGGGATCGATTCCACGTGTGTGTTGCAGGGCGTCTGCGACCACTACGCCACACGCGGCCTTTAAAATAATAGAGGTGACACCAGAAAATCCATTCTGCACATGTAATGATTTAAAAAAACCTTTTTTCGAAAATAATTCATTGACTTACTTTATGGAATGTATGGGTAGAGATAACACCGACATCGACTCAACATAGGGTGCAAAATATCAAATATCGTAAGTCCACCTCCCAACGGTTTACCGCCTCATCATGGCTGAGAGGTGACCCTGGGTGTTGCACTGCGATATAGGGGATTAATCCCCTGGCAAGGTTTCCCAAGCTGAGAAGAGGTCCGGCGTTTCCATTAGGAAGTCTAGATAAGAGTAACTATGCCAGGAGCTACCACCGTCCTGATATCAAGGTCGCATGGTAGTAAATCCCCCTCTGATCCACAAAGGCGGCGACTGCCTGTGGTGGTGAAGACCTGGGGCAGGCTTTGGCCAGCCTAACCTTGGAATTCCAGGGAACCACAATGGCTTAACCATCAAATCTACAAAAGATGGAGATTATGCTAAGGGCGGCCCACCCAGTGAGGACGGGCCGTTCAAGTATCAGGTATCAAGTGTCAAGTATAGGACGATAGATGAAAGTGTCTTTTATGATTCAGTCCTGCTCACAACACCCGAAGCACTCCAGTTATTTCAATATTCTCATAAAATCAGAAAGTCCGCAGCCGGGGAGAAACTGCTCGTCATCGGTTGGGCCAATCACGAAATGCAGTAGTGGGATGTTATGGGTTAATTGTTTCTGTTTCAAAACACAATAGTTTTGAAGTTATTGACGGCGATATGGAAACGATCCATGGTTGAACCTACTTTGCTGCAACTTTCATGGCATTGAAAATCCTTCCCGTGGTGAAGAGATCGCGTGCCTCACAAGCGCGTTCGAACATATCCACTCGTAATGCCTCACTGAATACGTGACGTGCCGTAGATCGCAGTTTGAACGAGGCCACTGCAATTTTTGTGGGAAAAAGTTGAGTAAGTGAATCGCGAATAAAACGAATAAACACCAATGGATTGGTCAGCATTACAGAGGATGTCTATCACACACGATTCATTTATAAATTCGTAGTTCCACTCCAGTTGCGAAATATGGGATTCATTTCAATAAACAAATGAACGATGTTATGTTCTTCACAGCGTCCAATTGTTTACCATCTCATATTGGATGAGGTTGTAGTCAAAATGCTAGGTACAGTGGGACTTCAATCTCAGTAGTGTTACCTAAGCAGAGAACAAGTATTTCCGTTTAGCATTGGAACTAAAATTACAATGTTGAAACCGACTGGTCATTTAACTTTGGTAGAATATCATGTGCATAAATTGTTGGACTTACACAAGGTTAGTGAATCGATTTGTTTCGGCTAATCAGAGCTGATGATCCGAGTCGATAGTCCACAGAGTTGATGAAGACGAAGACGTCGAAACGTTAGCGAAAAAAAATCTGTTTACCAGCCTCGTGTAAGCTGAACAATTTACAGACACGCTAAAATTAAAATTATTCCATCGAGGAGATCGCAGAGCTAGCCATTGTAACCACATCGCCAAAACTGTAGACATGGGTGACCCACTCATTAAAATATGTGGTATTAGCTAGAGTAATTCGATGACAAATGAGACTAGACGTTGTGCAGGTGATTCGTAACGAAGATTAATCTGTTACAAGAATATTGACGGTAGTATGAAGAGTATATTGCAAAATATAACTTCAATGATGCTGAGATATTTGAAAAACTCCGGACCGCAGGTGCTTGCGGTGGGGAGCGAACGCGTTATTGTCCTTTCCAAGGAGTAACGCGTTCACCACCACACCATGAGGGTCCTTCGTTTCGCCTGTCTCTCAACTAGTTCTATCGATCAATGCCATCAGCAATCACCCGTTCGTTTCCCACCGTATACACCTGCGGTCCAGAGTTTTTCAAATATCTCAGCATCATTAAAGTTATATTTCGCAGTATATACCCTGCCGTTAAGAAAAAGAATAGGCAGTAAATAACAAGTTAAAATTGTGATTAAAACCAAATACTTCATTAGGCGCGCATAGGATGCAGGAACACAACGGAGAAGATCTTGAAGTAGGAGTCACTGTCCTCACGCACGAATCGAAAACATCAGCGCGTAGAACTCTTGAAGCGTTTTGGATCAATTCCCAAAATTCAAAAATGAACCATAAGGAGGAGTGCCTTGTCATCACGCGTGACCTGGCGCCATACCTCAGGCTAATCCAATGACCTGACACAGACACACTTGTCGCCCATGTATTACTCTGTGCCGCTGCTATCCATCAACTAACTTGAATACAACAAATAAACGGTAGGTGTTTAAATGAAGCTGTTTCTTATGCGAATACAAATTTATTTCTTAAGTTTTATCCGTTGGGGTTATGAAAGTGTTTGGCTGAGTAGGTCACATCTCAATTTAACCTTTCCAGGCTCTGAAGAAGGTGCAACCGCCGAAACGTCAGCTATTGTATCCTAATAAATTCTATAATACCAACCTCGTATCTGCTTATTGAAGAAAAACATCGAGTTAAGATATAATCTATCGTAAAGAGTTATCAGCTCCTAATTCCTCTGAAATGCACCAGTTTGATCTTATCTAAACGTCCAGGCTCATTTAAGACTTTAATAGCTTGATAAGGTGATTTACCAAGTACAAACGGATATTGCTTGATTTCAGTACTCTCTTTGGGCTCCACTTTATTAAAGGAATAACTGCATTTCTACCCATCATTTACTAGTTTAAACCCTCTTGCCTGTTCAGTTTTTTTTTGAAGGCAGTCAAAAGGAAAATAGTCATGCTAACAGGTGATTAAATAGGCTTGCTTTTATCGAGTAAAATTGTTTTAATCACCCTGGCGTTTTCTCCAGAATTTAACATGTCGAATACTGCAATATGAGGAATATTCACCAATCTCGACCGAAGTGGGAAGTAATCTAGGCGAACAGTCATATTTTCACTGCCCAATACCTCAATGAAATACTAAGAATAAGAGATGGTTCTGTATACAACACTGTGTAAAAAGAGCCAGGATTCACCTGTGTGAGATAAATGGACTTTTCTCCTCGTTTGCCGATAAATCGTTCAGCGTTAGCACAAATACTGGTGAGTTCTTCGCTAAACAGTTTTTTTCCTCAGAACATGAATTATAGTAGAAAAGCAGACCTGTGAGAATCTGTGGTGTTATTCATTGTTTCATCGTTTCATCATTACTTATTGCAAACATTGATTCATTCACTTGTGTCATGTGTATTATCTATAATCGCTAAAATTTTTCGGTAACTCGGGCAGGGAACGTTTAGGTGAGATGCTTTAGTCTTATTGTTCTAACGAAAAGGCTGCCATAGACAGCTCACCGCACTCGGATTCCTTCTACATAGGATTCCAGATGGAATTGGTTTTGAGAGTTTACCGTGCTTTACATTTATTACCTTTGATAATGCTAATCATCGATTAACTCGAGCTGGGCACTAGTAAATTCAATCGCTATCGTTGAGTATTGATGATACTCTGGGAGCCCTGTGAACTCGAGGAACAAGAAGGTCATCACATTTATGATGCTATTCAATTTTTTCTTGCCGTTTTTGGCAGCAAGTTACCTACTAATAGCCTGAATCGCCCTCCATGCCGTGCGTGTTTTTTTTTAACTTAGATTGCAGATAAAATTATTAGATCCCCTCCAAATTAAGATATGAGCAGGTGCTCCAATCGTTCTTTTCTGGGCTTGGAACAAGGTGTTTCCACAAAAATGACGACCCTGTGAGGTAGCTTAAGGGTGTATTGGTGGACGTAAGATAATATGACAAAAACTATCATAAAACAGAAGAAATGTGTCCTCATTGGTCGCACATTGGTATTTGCAGGTTATATTTATGTACAATCTGGCACCATATTATGTTTGAGTAAATATGGAAAACAATTTATTCACTGAGAAAAAAACACTTGCTGACAAATTCCCTCGAGACCTTGTCCAATGTAGGTAGCTCGTGTAGCCAACGCAGCGGCACAAACCATGGATGAAATGCCTGGAAGTCCTTCCGGAATGCGGCTTGAAAAGCTTCTTTCGCGTTGTTTCGGGTGTCACTTGCCATTTTATAGGACATGCTTAGCACCGAAAGAGTGTTTTCCTCTTTTGGACCGTCGATGAAGCATTGCCCTAAATAACAGTTATAGTTGCTGATGCTCAAGCTACTGTATAACAACAATATAACTCTTTCAGAATTTTATCAATATTCGTGTCTGTGCATTGAATGGCTAGTCATGCGACGAAAATGAGAACTAAAAGTGAATGAAAAGCAAAAAAGGTTCAAAAAATGAAAAAATTGATTAAAATGTGATAAAAATATCAAGCGCTGTTGAATGAAGGTGTGGATACAGTGGATGCTTAAGAGATGTAGAGATGGCCAAAGGCTAAAGGCCACCACCTTCTCTAAGATGAATGAATATATTTGTCACCCATGTTAATTATAGCCCTCAGGAAAGACGACAGGAGAAGCCGTTGCACAAAAAAGGGATAGGAATCGTGGAATCGTGGTAAGATGAGAAGGATGACAACTGCGGTGACGTCTACACGACCATTTAAGATGGCAACCCATGGATTTAAGTCGGATGGGTTAGTAGCAACAATACTAGTGAGTAGTAAACGTACTAACACTGATAACAATCACAATAATAACAACAAATATTAAGAATCACATGCAGCTCACTAAGCTCTGCACTTGAAAGCTGGGTTTACGTATGGATGGATAATTGAGCTTCCGAACTTGAGGCTTACATAATAAGAGTGATCCCGTACGGCACCCATATCTTGTATTTTCCAATCAGTTTGCTTCGATTTTGTGGTAGAACCCACAGATATGGTGCGATGGGGTCGACACGCAGCACACCTCTGCTGGTGTGCATGAGTATGATTTGAAAAGCTACAAATTTGCCGTTCCAAAGAAACGGAACTCGTTCTCTGAATATTCTGGAAACCTAGGTAGGTCAAATGATAAAATGTTGTAAAATTCTCTCTTCAAATCGCTTTGCATACCTTCTACCAATATGTCAAAGCCAATCGTCTCAATCTTCAACCGTTCCACAACAGCATCCCACCCTGCTAGCAGATAATCAAACCATTCAGAAGAAGTGCTACCAGTCCAGCTGGACGATAGACTAAGGCTACATGGTCTATAAAATTTTTTTACTGAAATTAATCCAAGTCTTGTTAATGTATTGCAAAAAACAAGATGGTGAACAAGGAATCATCCCATATATATGATCACGTTCTGTCCAGGTCATTCTCTTTTTTTCGTTCCTCTAACTCTAAGCCAACGGTCCCAAAAATAAGTTTGGATTTCACTGCAAATAGAATTGCTGTAGGAAAATATTCCTCTTCGTAACTTATCAAATCACTGTATTAGTGGAAATATGTCAACTTTGATGCTCCGGAGATAAGTCGTAACCCGGCACGGTCATTCAAAGTGAGAACGGGTTTGATCCGTTCTTCCATTTGCTCACTTATGCTGCAAATAGTAGACGTCTTGGAGGAAATATGATTGCAAGATGGATTCGTTTTTCGCCGGATTCGTCGGATTCGTAGAGACTGGTGAGCGGTTGTCTATTATCTGGAATGCCTAAGGAAAACTATGTTGGGAGCCCAAGGGAAAAACCTAGCCTGACACACAACGTTCAAGCCACTTCTAGGACCGACATTCTCCTAACTTCGGTGTTATTCAATGAGCTAGTTTTTCTTCTTAAGCAGACAAGAGGTTATTAACAACAAGAGTTGCTTGACACTGAATGACGTTTTGGCGCTTTCATCTTCTTCGGAGTAATTTTGTTTTTTCTAAGTCTTGCAGTTATTGTTGAAGACCAGCCGCCCAGAGTCTCACATGGATAAGGAACCCATAGAAAGCTATATTTAAAAAACTCTATCGTTAACAACCTCGTCTCTCCTCAAGAACAATGAACTGACTTATTGAAGATTCCAGTCAATTTCAAGTTTCGAGGAGGCATTTACATTCGGAAGACGAAGTCTATCGAAGTACTACAGGAAGTGTAAAAAATTTTGATATTAGATAAGCTAGTGAGGAGAACTGGAAGGTTTCTTTTAAATACAAAGTAGTAAAGTCATCTCTCATCAATTTGGCCGTCTATGAAAAAGAAGTAAGGGCGTGTGCGGCGCAGTGGTTGGAGGCGCCACCGCGACACACCTGGTATCGATTCCTACCCCCATGGCTCACCAAGCCTTCCATCTCTCCGGGGTCGGCAAATTGGTGCCAGAGTTGTCTGGGAAGAAAGCAGCACTGGCTCGATACATCGGCAGGTCACCGCGAGTCATCGTAAAGGCCAGGTGTGCATTCAATCACCTCCAACGATACTTAATGAAGTCGAATGCATGGCGCATCCCTCAGGGATTGGGGAACGCCGAGAGCTTTACCCTTTTCATGAAAAAGAAGTGGACACGACATTTAGCAGTAGATCGTTGGCATTCTATTTGAATACCTCTAACAGTACAGAGGTAAGAAGCACGGGTTACTTATCGGCTTAGGTTGATTTTAAAGATAGAAAAACGTAATATTTTAATATATATTCTATCTTTGATAAGCTTATACAAGGCTGATAAATTATCTTTATTCTCAGCTAATTATTATCACAGAGCACACGTGTAGTTATCGGCTGTGTTCATTAGTCGGATTTCCGTTCTTCTATTTATCGCCGAAAGAGTTTCCGTATCCGTATCAGTTGCCAGTGCAATCGTTCCGTATCCATGATCAGCAATGTGTTCACCTGAACGACGCATGTAGTTTCACCACACAAGAACTATAATGCCAATGTACTGTCAGTCTAATTGCTTGTGAAGGGCAGTGATGAAAAAAAACTCTGTAAAACTTCCACATGAAAGCCCCGTTGTATAATATTTATTATTCAATATCCGCAGAGCGTAGTCGATCAGATTCTCGAACGCTGAGCGGCTGTAGTGTTAGTCTTGTGATTGCAATTACGAACTACATTATATTCGTAAGAGGTCATAAATTTAAAGATATAAGTTGCTTCAGACGTCTATAAAGGAGAAATTCAACAAAGCAAAAAAACAGCTAGGTCCAGATTACTTCTAATGCTTCACAAAATACTATAATGTTAAGGATAATCACAATAATGCTGAGATATGACCAAAACTCGGAACCTCAGTCAGGCTCCGAACCCATGATTAGCCTTTCTGTGGACTCATGCGTTATGTTAGCACTATGATGTTGTGTCTCTGTTTAAAGTTTCTAACGACTATTAATATAGTACGCTGATAGAGGACACTTTTCTTTTCCTGCCGCCAAGGTTCAAACCACTTTGAATTGCGGCAGTAGATAACATCCTTACTGTGTAAGAAGACACCGTCCAGTAAGATCCTTCGCTCGATGGGTCCTCAGTTTCACTGGATACCACCCACATTGTAACAACGGACAACCACATCGCGAGGACGACCACCTCCTGTGGACATCAATACAGATCAATTCGCCTCTGAAGAAGATGAAGACGGCGAGACGATAGCTGAATAAAGGACAAAGCTCCCGAGGTTGATCAATCTCTGAAGGATACACCATCTATTCGACTTCATTAAGCATCGTTCGGAGGTGATTGAGTTCATATCTGGCCTTTGTAATGACTCGTAGTGGCCTGCCAATGCATCGAGCCAGTACTGCTATCTTCTCAGATAAGTCTGGTACCAATGTGCCGACCCGGAGGGATGGAAGGCATGGTGGGCTATGGGCCTGGAGATCAATTCCACCTGTGTGTAGCAGGGCGCCTCCGACCACTGCGCCACATGCGCCCATGAGTTAGCCGAATAAATTTATTTATCCTCGTCGTTTTGCTTAATAATCTGAAAAGGTATTGACACAGCACAATTTATCGAGGAAAATCAATAAAACGCATCACATCTTCCGTATGAGACCCTTTAAATTTCCTTGTGAAAGAGTACGGATTCACATCATGTTAACGACTACATATGGAACATGAAGGTTGAGACGGTGCAGACACAACAGGAGCTTCACTTCCTGAATTACCTTATTCACTGAATGTAGTGTGTGGTCGCTTTTGTTCCGCCTTTATGCCACTTCCGCCTATCCGTCATGTGAGAGCGCTCCAAGTAGCCTCGTGACCAGCAAATATGAGATGCTACACTCAGGGAAATTCGTCGATGGATTGTTTACTAACGAAACACTCGTTCAAATTTAGTCAATTGTCGGACTGTAGTAACTTTTCGTCTCCACCTACTTGAACCTTTTAGAAAGTGAAACATGTCGTAAACAGATTCCGTCGTTATTTTCGTATCGTTGGCACTCATATCAACGAAGAAGACACTGTTATGATGGATGGTAAACAAAGAGACATCCGCCAAGAAACACTTTACAACGAAAAATGAAATTTAAAGAAAGCACTTCCTAGATAGAAAATTCAGGAGAAACTACCTAATCGATAGCAGAGTTGACGGGATTTATTTTTTCCTGGTTCGGATTCGAATGAGAGAGATCCCGCTTGAGCTGACAACAGCTGGGGCCGGTTGGTGACAATTGTCCGCTATTGATACCCATTACTGCTTAACTTGGGGATGTTTATGAAGAATAAGTAACTTGAGAGATCCCATGACCAATCGCTTCTAGAATTACAGTAGTCGAAAATCAGGTCAGAGAAAATAGTTGGGATCACACCAAGATCACTTTGCACACCTACCTCTTGGCAAACTGTTTGAATCATTTTACAACGAACCCAGTCCTATGTGAACAGCACAAACATGCAAAAAAATGGTCAAACTTCATAGTATTCATTAGTTTGAAATAGTCTGAGTTACATCACATCGCAAAAGTCTTTTTTGATGAATAAGGGTGTCGACATTGGAAAGACAGGCAACAGGCAACCGATTAATTGGAGATATGCTGGAGAGAAGACACGTACAGTAGATGAATAGCCATAAGCGTCGACGAACATCTCGGAGTTCATTTCTAACGCTCATCAGATGAATGGGATTGACGCTGGCGACGATCGAGCACACATCGGCATATGTCGAACACCACCGACAATACTACAAACGACATGTGGTCGAAACCTGTTAAAAACAAAATATGGATGAAATATGAAGCAACTGATGTGTCTCAGTTTCAACGATTATCATAACTAGTCAACTGAACTGGAATCTAGCTTCTGTTCGGAAAATTTCGTGATAAATGAGGTGTTTACGCGTATTGCTGTCATTTGAACTCTTCATCTTGAAGACTCATTTAATGTTGTGATTTTCAAGAAAGCCTTCGCTTTAAAAGATGTGGTCGAGATACTTCCAGCCTTTTGTCGGAGGCAATGGAATATTCCACAGAATCCAATGCAAATGAGATCAATATGAAATCGAACTAAAGTTGTCCAAGCAATTCTAAGCTTATTTGAATCTTTTATGAGTGCTTGTGCACGCCAAACAACAAAAATACGTGACGATCAATAAAGATCAAATAAACAAAAACAAAAACTGAAAAGCTATGGATTGGAAGGGTGGGAACACAGCTCGACCATTCGTAGGATCCTCATTTCTTTTCCTGTACATGAAGAGCATAAGTGAATAGACCAGTTATTTCAAAAATCTCAAAACTTTCTGAGTCTAATCATACCTAAACGATGTCCGCAGAATTTTTCTCTAACGATGCTGAACTTCCTTCATAGAATTCGAGACCTATGAAGATCTATTTGGTCGCCATCTGCGCTAAACTCGTTCGCATCAATTAGCTGGAAGGCTCACTTTTACATAGTCTAATGCTTAGATCTGCTCACTTGGGCACCACGGAGAGGTTGAGAAATTCTCCGTTAACCAATCGCACGTGATTCCACACAATTTGGATCTCCTTGGAAAATTTTCCTTTCGTTAGGAGTTTTTTCCTCAATCTTGAATTCTTCATGTTAAGATGTCGTTATATCGGTACAGGCATTTGCGGATCCGAAAGAGACTTGCCACCTTCCGACAGAGTTCTTTTCAACCGGTAGCGGTTCCCAGCTTTGGCTAACTCCCGGCTGAATCTACGGATACCATAGTCGAAGTTCATCATAGCTTTGATATCGATGGCAGAGGAATGAAGTCGTGCTCCAGAATATTAAATATCACGGAAACAGCTGCGAAAATACCAACAGATTAATATTTGCGATCAATAAAATCTTCAATAATGTTTTACTAATACATGTTCCTTAGCAGTATTTTGAATAGATTTGCAAACTACTTCTATGAAGATTGATCTCAGACGGGTTTCGTTTAAAAACGGACAATTCCATACGCCGGAAATTAAGCGGTGGTGTGTAAAAGGTCCGATCAGCAGTTGATGGATAAAAGGTCATCAAGGTTTGGGTTCTACTTGTCTGCTTGATACCAAGCACACACCGATAAAACCACTCATTTTTTCAGAGCTTTTTAGGAGTAACAAATTAAGAAAGAAGGATAAGAATAATGGGAAAATCGGCTACCTGTCTCTCGAGCAAACA